GAAGAAGAAGAAGTAGTATTTATTTATTTTTTTAGAAACTCAGAAGCTGATCAAATATCGGGTTAAATATCGGTGGGGTGGCCGATGTCCGATATTCAGTTTTAAGGCCGATACAGGCCGATACCGATAGGGGGCCGATTATATCGTGCATCCCTACTATTAAAATTTATATTTTGTCTAAATGTATTTATCTATTTCAGCATCTTCCAATAAATGTTCTTCAAAGAACTTAATAAAAGTATAACTACTTTTATATGGCAAAGGAAAAACGCTAGAGACAAACTCCAAAAGGGGAGAACTTCACCTACTGAACTTAAGGAATTATTATCTGGCCTCTCAGTACCGATTAATACGGATGAGGTTAGATGGGTCCCAATAGAGCAACATGAGATGAAACCTATACCTTTAAAGCATGTTCCATTCTTGGGTACGAAGCAATGTTTAGCCACATTAACAAACAACCCAGTAATACTGAATACATTTACTGCTTGGCAGGAATCTCATTCACTTCTTGGCACAAACCTCTCCTTTCTTAGAAGAGCACCTTTGTGGGGAAATCCCAGTCTCTCACATCACATTGCTGACTCAGCCTTGCAGGAGTGGAGGGATAAAGGAATCCAAACTGTTGCTGATTTATACATTAATATGTTTTTTCAATTTTCGTCAGTTAAATGAAAAATTTAAGCTCAACAAAGATATTTTCTTCATTTTTTTACAAAGCAGATTGGGTTAAAGAGAAATCAAAAGAAACATTCCCAGACATCCCAAAAGAAACTCCTCTTGAAAGCCACCTATGTAATGAATCATGCACATCAACAAAAGCAATAATATATGGTATCATCAATGGAAAGTTACCCGCTTAGGATAAAACAGTCGAAAACGGAAATGGGAAAAAGACTTAGGGTGTATTTATGAGGAGGCATCATCTATTGGAACAGGCACAGACTGTGCTAACCTCCACAAAACACAGACTAATTCAGTTTAATATATTCTATAGGACGTATTACACTACCTACAGGCTGCATAGACTTGACAGTAAAATTTCCTCCAGGTGTCAGAGATGTAAAGTGACTGATGGGGATCTTATACACATTCTATGGAGTTGCCAAATGATAAAAGGACTGTTGAAATGTGTCATTGTGATAACTTCAAGGGTAATAGGAATACAAATTAAACAAGACCCAAAACTATGGATTTTCGGGGACACGGATCCTATTAATGTAAATTATTACAAGAAGCACTTTATATTATTTGCAAGCACTGCAGTGAAGAAATGTATCCTGGTTAACTGGAAATTCGAAAATTCCCCGTCAGTAAGACACTGGATCAATGAGCTTGTGTCTAACTGCTCACCCAAGAAGATACTTTATAATGTTAAAGGAAAACATGCAATCTTTGAAAAAATCTGGGGCCCTTCATAGATATTCTGCCCTCTCTGGACCCGGCTGTCCATAGTTGAGTGAGCCTTTCTGGACCGGCTTCAAATTAGCCCTTTGCAGGTTCTTCTTATATACCTTCCTCTCTTATGTACGTATGTTTTGAATAATACAGAGATGAATGAGCTCAGATGGATGTTTTCTGTCCAGAAATGAAAGGGTATTGAGAACCATACGAGAAAGGGGGGGGGGGGGGGGGGGGGGTGTTGTTGTTATATTTCGTTTCATTGTTTTCTTTTGGTGTTAAAAATTAAAAATCATCTTCCTTGTATGGTGAGTCTGTAAGACTATATATCAATAAGTATGTTTTATAAGATACAATTTTCAGTATAACTGTGAATGCTTGCTATACACCATAAATATCTTGTAAAAGATTCTGTTAATAGAACAAATCTTAAAAAAAAAATGTAAACATGACAAAGCAGCCACAACAAGCAAACATGTCTTTATTGCTGATGTTCAAAAAAAGACCTTTTATTTTCAAAAATTAAAAAACAAAAACTTTGAGTCATGTTTGAACTGATGCAGCTTTTCAATTTTTATGTATATATTTATAAACTAGAAGGTGTTAGCTTTCAAATAAGGTGTTACAAATGTAATCCGGGCTTTTTCCATTTGGCTTTGCAAAGAATTTCCCAAAATTTGGTTGATATTAAGAGGATAAAGGCTGATTTATGCTCATAAACCAGGTTGTTGTTGCATGTGTGTCACAGTTAATGCAGATATGCCCCGCCCCTTCTGCAGACACTCTGCTGCAGCTGTCCAAAATTGTAGGTGACCACAGACAGGAGTCCTCTGATTGGTCAAATCTGCATCGGCTCTACACTATTTGTATTTCCTGTTTGGTACCTTCCCGGCTTGTTTTGTTTGTATGACCGCCATTGTGGAAAACAACTCATGAAGATGGACCAGCTAGAAGAGCAAGGTGCACGAGAACTCTGGGACCCTTTATCCACCTGGATCCTCGCTCTTTTTCACCCTCATGTCCCTCTATTGTCGCACAAACTTGCCCCAACTTCCTCACTTCCTCGGCCGTATCTAGACCCACAGCTAGTTTCTGATTGGCCCTCTTGCGTTGTGGCATGGAATAATATAGCACAGACCACGCTTCAATATTGGGCATAAATCAAAAATATCTGCAACAAGCTAACAGCGACACACTGCTGAAGGAAAATAACCAGCCGTTAAGGCTGTGATAGTGAACACTTCTCCTTTGCTGAGATAATCCATGCCACCTCACAAGTGTGCCATATCAAGATGCTGATTAGACACCATGATTAGTGCACAGGTGTGCTTCTTTGTAAAAAAAAAAAAAGTCTTAGTATTTATCCATAAGTTGCCATTTTAATTTACAGAAATAAACTGAATCCTTTGTATTTTTCTTTTGCCAATTCTATGAAACTTTGTTTATAGTGGTGAACATAAAATAATGATGTAGAAAGTTGAACCTAAATCCTGTTGGAGACGGTGCCATCCCCGTTGTGTCAGAAAGGTTCCCACTGTGCTTTGCCCTGGCAGAGAGGGAGCAGGTGAAGATCCGCCATCTTGGAAACATCCTTTCCCGTGAGGAGTCTTTAGCTTTGAGCCGTTCTCTGTGTCTGGATGTCGTCTGCAGAGCTTCTCTAAGTGTTAAGCTCTTCTTTTTAATGACATCCGCTGTGGTAAATCACACATGCAGTCAGATGTTTACATCACTGAGGGTTTATTTAAACCAGGCTCGGTCTCTGATTTACACAGCTCCTAATTATACAAACAGACGCAGATCCATAAATATCTGCAGCAGTGTTTGCTCAGCACCTTTCTGCATGGCTCCTCTGGAAGAGATGCTGCTTTGGCCTCAGCCTTTTTCATTTACTGTGGAAGTGTTTGTTTCCCTCTATGGTTTCTCTTTGGGTGCTAAAACTTTCTCCCCATGTTCCAAAGTAGGTTTAACAGCATTAATTACAGTTTCTATAAGAGCGTGCGGTCAGCAGTCTACCAACTGTATCCCGCTTCTGACCGTAAGGCGATAGCCTCGATAGCCTCGATAGCCTCCAGCTTCCATTTGAGGATATAGTGGGTGTAGAGAAGGAACGCAGGATCATCTCCTGAAACACGCTTGCTGTTAAACATTTTTATCAAGGCGGGGAGGCTTTTAGGACAATGTTGGCCTCCTTCATTCATCCCACTGGTTTAGTTTGCTTGATATTAGGGCTCATTAGTGGGGAGTGTTGGCCTAGTGGGTAGAGCAGTGCTCTTATGCTCTGAGAAGGTTTCAAGTACCCGGTTTGATCCCCACAGCCTCTACTCTGGGTTCCTGAGGAAGACCAAAGGGATTTACATTAAGAGGTTCTGACCATCCGACTGGTTTGAGGGTGAAGTTACAAAGTTTTGTAACCTGTTCTTATCAGGATTACCCAAAACACAAGTAAACAAGTCCAACAGCATTACGATACCACCACCATGCTGCCTGATAGAGTCTCCAATGGAGCTTCTAAGCTGTTCTGTCAAAGAAGCCGTGTTCATCTGACTTTGAACGAGGCCTGACTGCCTTATTCCAGGAGTCCAAACAGACCAGCTGCTTTTGGAACAAACATCGCAGATGTTTTTTTGTTTTGTTTTTTAATTCTCCGTAGTTTAAAAGCAAAGACACTTTCTGACGCATCATATGCTTTTGTTTCTGTCTGAGGCACATGCAGGGATGAAACTAAGCTTGAACGGTCCGGTACTGCGTACCAGTAAAAGATTTAGTTCCAGGAAGAGCTGCTGTCTGTTATGTTGTGTCACAGATTTTAGCGCAAAGTTACCAACTTGGAACTTGTTAAGACGCTCATTGCACGGTCGACTCTGCCCTCGCTACTTAATGAATTATATGTGGCTGAAAAACCGTATCTGCCAAGTGCAGATAGTGTCTAGTTTTAGGGATTTTATGGCCCACAAGAGGTGATGCAAAACTGTCTTCAATTTATTCCCAAGGAATCTAAAATATATCCAGAATAAATATTTTGCTGCTTATTGTTTATTTTTGGATAAAGATCCAGATAAGAATCCACAAACATCATCTCTAAATGTTCCTGCTTCTATCTGATCAACTAGAATGTAAATGTTTTCCTGTATTGTCATAAAAACGTTTGTTCTGTTTTCTTTGAATATTTCAACATTTAGAAATAAAATATTTCTTAAATTAAATGTGTTAATGTATCTGCAGGTTCTTTGTTTATTATTTTTTTTATATCAGACCCCTATGAAGTGATTAATTTATATTGGTCTCAATCTGAAACAAAAATAGAAAAGCATGCAGGGTGTAATAGACAGTACCAGCAAGAATTAATTTAATTTACTTTCACACCTGAGAACATGACAACGTGATTTGTTAAGAACTGCTTTTGATTTACGCTGTTTAGAGAGGGACATGTATGAAACTTTAGCCAAAATTAACCACAGTAATAGATCATTTCCTTCCACCATGTGCTTTTCAGCTTCTTTGGCAACATCTAGCATATGTTCTTGTCTTCAGACATTAAAGATTTGAACAATCCAGAACTCTGCTAACCGTCATGTTTCTTTTTTTCTTTTTTTTTGCAGCTTGTCTTTTTCGCTTCAACTTGCTGTCACTGGTTTACTTCCTCTATCTCCTGCTGTTGCCATGGTTCCTCGGCCCAAACAAATACACAGTCAGAGGTAAGATCATGTCAGGACGTTCAGTAACGTCCGTCTATGACGAGCTGGCATTGAAATCCAGCATAGGTGTGAGGTCATCAGCAAAGAACTCACTGAACAAGGGAGGGGCGGCCTAGTGGTTCGGGCATAGAGCTTGGAATCCTGAAGTTGTGAGTTCTAAACCCACTCCCACAGACTGCCACTCTGGGTCCCTGAGCAAGATCATAAATCTCAAACTCCTTCCCGGGCACCGAACAGTGGCAGCCCACTGAAATATAGAATTTCAAATTCAAAATTTTTTATATTTCTATATTAAAAACTAGATTGGGGCTATAGGTTAATGGACATACATCCATCTTTTTAGTATATTGTAGAGTTTAGAACGATAAAACAAATGTTAATCTGGCTGTTTTGTTAAAGCATTTTCAGTTATAACCCAGATCATCTTAAAAACATACAGATCAACTTAGCAGAAAGCAGACTTCAAACTAAATTTTTTATTAGATACAAAGAATATAAAGAATTGGTAATGCTGCAATATCAAGTAAAGTTTATTTTTATTTTTTAAGTTTATTATTATTATTATTTTTATTTAATATCTGTCTTTCATTTGCGGTTTATTTGTGGATAACACTCTACATTCTAAGCAACTAGCTATAGGTTAGAAAGCCTGGCTGTTTGAAGGAATAATGGACCATTGAGTTCTGCTGAGAAGCGGAGCTGAAGGAGAGGATCTGAAGAGAACCGACAGAAGCTTAAAACCCAGGCTGTAGCGTCTGACCCAGTTGGTCAAAGCTCAGAGAACAATGTCCTCTGCTGAGCAGCCAGGGCTGCAAGATAGAGGACGAGTACATCATCATCATCATCATGCATCTTGGAGAGATGTGTTGCAGAAAAATCCCTTCAATTAAAAACAATGCTTTTTGAAACATGTGGAAAACCTGCAGGACAACCAACGACTGTGGAGCATGCACCCCTATTAAAAAAAAAAAAAACGAAAAAAACAGCTCACACCTCTGGTAGCTTCCCCCTGGAAATACAATAGAAAACCAAAGACCAGGAAAACAAACAGGATGTTCTTTCCAACATGATTCAGTTTGTTCTCTGTGCCAAATGGCATGATCATAAACCCAACATGACGTCTTTGAAGTGATTCACAGGCGTAGAGTTGATTCCCCACTGGGCATTTAACATACTTTCAGGTTCAAGAAAATAAACATCTTTAGGAAAATTTAGAGGCACGATTGAATCCAAATAGATTCTCAGTGGACTGATACTTGTTCCATACCAATATTATCACTGCTCAGAGCTCATTGGGATGTTTAAAAAGCTTTGGGAATTTTTTTGGATCCAAATCCAGCTTCAAACGTCTCCTCTACAGTCTCTCAGACCTGCCTGGTGAGTTCCTTGTTCTTCATGGTGCTCTCTGCTCTTTAAACAGAGCTCTGAGTCGATCACAGAGCAGGAGCATTTATATAGATTATACTGAGGTGGATTCCATTGACCATCATCAGTCATTTAGCTCAACATTGGATCATTCTGAGATCCTCACTGAACCTCTGGAGGAGATTGCTGCACTGAAAATAAAGGAGCAGATTCATTTTGCCGCCCCATGCTTTAGCTTTTTATTTGTTAAAAAAGATTTTAATTTAACATAATTTTGTTCCATTCTATGATTGGTTCCCAATTGTAGATTCTTTACAAAAAAATTACAATTGAATATATTTGTTTTTTTAATACAGTTTATTTTAAGTTTTCAAGGTTTAGAACATACAGATAAACAGACAGAACAAACAGAACCCAGATGCACAGATCATATATAAAACATTCCAGTTGGTAAGTGGTATACACCCCTATCAAATGTATTCATAGTCAAATACCTGAGAATATATACACCCATTGAGAGGTGACTGAGGGGAGAGTCCATGGAAAAGTTGGTTCAGCTTAATCTAGTTTGTGAGAAGCGTTCCATGAAGGGCTTCCAGTAGTATGAAAAAGTGTCTTTAGAGTCTTGACAAAGTCTTTCCATCTGAATTATTGACATCATGTCCGTCACCCAAAGGAGAAATGAAGGGGGAGCAGATGACCTCCAGTCCCTCAGGATTAATCTCTTGGCAACAATCAGTCCCAGCTCTAATGGTTGCCTCATTGCAGCGGGTATAGTCCCCTGCACCCAAGGGCATCCGAAAATGATGTCCTGGCTTAGGTTGTATGGGAGTCTTGTATGCCTTAGAGTATCAATCAAACACCTGACCAAAGACCTGTTAATGAAAGATGGACCAAAAAGCATGAGATAGTGTGCCTTCATAAATGTTACAACCAGTCACACATTGGGGAGACAGGAATGTATTTATGTTTGAAGCCTGAAATATGGCAAAAGGTCCTGCTGAGAACTGCTGCACACAGGGAGTCCATGGATGTTGTCTAAAACAATGACAGAGAAAGAGATTCACAAGAAGACGGATACAACAAGAAAAATAGTGTTTTTCTTATTTCTACATCGTTTTTCCAAAGAGGAGCCTGATAACTAAAAGATCTGCCTCCCTTTCTACGTTTAGAAATTCTAGGAACCACTAGTAAACCTGCAGATTGAGAGTGAAGTGCTCTGTTAGGAACATAAGGAACAATCAGATCTCTGATATCAGATGGAGCTTGGCCATTTAAGGCTTTATATGTGAGAAGGAGGATTTTAAATTCTATTCTGGATTTAACAGGAAGCCAATGAAGAGAAGCCAGGATAGGAGAGATGTGATCTCTCTTTTTAATTTTCATCAGAACTCTGGCTGCAGCCTTTTGGATCAGCTGAAGGCTTTTAACTACAGTTTGTGGACTTCCTGATAGTAAAGAATTACAATAGTCCAGCCTTGAGGTAACAAATGCATGGACTCGTTTCTCAGCATCACCCTTGGACAGGAGATTTCTAATTTTTGCAATATTCTGGAGATGAAAGAATTAAATTCTAGAAAAATCGTTGATATGGGATTTAATTTGGGGCTGCTTGAAATGCCTCAAGTTCCTGAAAGTTAGAGATGATCACAGTGAGGACGTCTGTAAGATCCAAGAAAAAAAAACACCTAAGAGCTGGTATAACAGCTCAGAAGCAGGAAGTTATGAACTCTGATATCAAAACAGGAAAGTTCATCACAATGCATTAAATGCACCTCACTGAGAGAGAGGACAAAAACCACCGAGCCTTACTGCCAGCATAGAGAATTGAACATCCTGCTGACAATGGACTGCTAGTTCAACAAGCCCAGCCTGGACAAGAAGAACCTGCAGTAAACACCATGGAAGACAAGGTCTGCTCCCAGCATTCACAGCTGGCAGACTGAGGAAGTGGCTAACACTCAGAAATCCCTGACTGAAGGCGCCAGCCATGGCGACTCTTCAGACCTGCAGGATTATAGGGGATTTTTGCATTTATCGGCTGAGATGATGATGCTTATTGACAGTCCTACCATCCTGTAAGGGTAGAAAGTTCTACCATCCTGTAAGGGTAGAAAGTCCTACCATCCTGTAAGGGTAGAAAGTTCTACCATCCTGTAAGGGTAGAAAGTCCTACCATCCTGTAAGGGTAGAAAGTTCTACCATCCTGTAAGGGTAGAAAGTCCTACCATCCTGTAAGGGTAGAAAGTTCTACCATCCTGTAAGGGTAGAAAGTCCTACCATCCTGTAAGGGTAGAAAGTTCTACCATCCTGTAAGGGTAGAAAGTCCTACCATCCTGTAAGGGTAGAAAGTTCTACTATCCTGTAAGGGTAGAAAGTCCTACCATCCTGTAAGGGTAGAAAGTCCTACCATCCTGTAAGGGTAGAAAGTCCTACCATCCTGTAAGGGTAGAAAGTTCTACCATCCTGTAAGGGTAGAAAGTCCTACCATCCTGTAAGGGTAGAAAGTCCTACCATCCTGTAAGGATAGAAAGTTCTAGCATCCTGTAAGGGTAGAAAGTCCTACCATCCTGTAAGGGTAGAAAGTTCTACCATCCTCTAAGGGTAGAAAGTCCTACCATCCTGTAAGGGTAGAAAGTTCTAGCATCCTGTAAGGGTAGAAAGTCCTACCATCCTGTAAGGGTATAAAGGGTAAATGTTGGCTGTTGATGAGCGATATCAATGATATTAACACCATTAACTGTTACCTTTGCTTCCTTCTCTCCGTTTCAGGTCACACTGGTCGGTTCATTAAAACAGTTTTCTGCACCAGTCTGCTCTTCGTTCTGGCTCATATCTGCTTCCAGACGGTTTTGTATACCTACGCTCCCCTCGACGCTGCAATAGGTTATAACTGTTCACGATGGGAGGCCATCACCAGACACATTGGTCTGTCCAGGTAGGAGTTGGGTGAAGTGTTAAGGGTGACTCCTGAAAGGCGCCGGCCTTTTGCTTTGTTTTATTCATGTTTCTTCCTTCATATGCAGGCTTCCATTGGACGATCCCTGGAATGTGCTGCGTCTCCTGTGTCCAGATGTAGGAGTCTGTGTGGTGTCACTCGTTACGATTGTCCTCTGCCGCAGACTGGTCAGGAACAGAGAGATGGTGGCAGCAGCCAATATAACATCAGTAAGTCTCATTGTTATTAGAAAGAGAAGGGAAGGAGTCAGTCCTGACTTTGACCCATTAAACTGTCTTATTTGGACCAAAGCTCAGTGTGAGTCTAAGACTACGTTCACACTGCAGGCCTTGATGCTCAATTCCCATTTATTTGTGAAGTCCAATTTTATTGCATTGTCGTTCACATTTCCAAATATATGCAACTTGTATGTGATCTCCGGTGTGAGCTACAGTCATACAACGCAAGTGTCCCGCATGCGCAGTAGAGGACGCAATGACATCACTTGCCAGTGTGCTCTGTGTTTACGGAAGTAAACATGGATGTTAGTGCCGGAGCGCATCTAGCGATATTTCCCAACCATAAAAACACAATATTTTCAAGATGGTACAACTTAAATACTGCTCTCCGCGTCATCATCTACCATGGTTGTTGTTTTTCGTGCCGCTTCTTCATAGCAATTATTGGCATCATTGGGTATTAATTTTGTTCAGGTCGAATGAATGTGACATGGCCGCTCAGACACAGGTCGCATTTGAAAAGATCAGATTCGTATTGGATTCAAGACCACAGAGCCAAGTGGCCTGGGTTGTTCAGACAACCATGAAAAGATCAGATCCAGGTCACATATGGGCCAAAAAAAATCTGATTTGGGTCACTTGAGGCTGCAGTGTGAACGTAGGCAAATATTCAGCCAATAAATTAGCAGAACTCTCTAGAAAGCCTGAAGAACCACTGATGGAAAACGCTTTAAAGCAATCAGTGAATCTCTAAAACATTGGAAGGCAAACATTGGAAGGCAAATATTTAATAAACACTCTTAAACACTGTTGATCTGGAGGTTTGGAGCCTTGGAACTTTGTATGTGTAGCTTTGGATCCTAAGATGGCGCTGCGCAGGCAGCAGCCGGTCACATCGGCTCCTACTTTTCTTATTCTTAATGCACCTTTTTCCTTCTTGTTTGCACCATCTTCTTTAATTACTATGCCAATATGTGACCAGTGAATTTCTCCGCTGTGAGATCAATAAAGCTCTAATCTAATCTATTTCAAACTACCTTCATGCAGCTGTTCAGAAAAAAAGCATTTTAAAAGCATCACCTCCTGGGCCGCTGGTTATCAGTTTTAGCTTAATAAGAGATACACTATATTGCCAAAAGTATTTGCTCACCCATCCAAATTATTGGAATCAGGTGTTCCAATCACTTCCATGGCCACAGGTGTATAAATTCAAGCACCTAGGCATGCAGACTGTTTTTACAAACATTTGTGAAAGAATGGGTCGCTCTCAGGAGCTCAGTGAATTCCAGCGTGGAACTGTGATAGGATGCCACCTGTGCAACAAATCCAGTCGTGAAATTTCCTCGCTCCTAAATATTCCACAGTCAACTGTCAGCTGTATTATAAGAAAATGGAAGTGTTTGGGAACGACAGCAACTCAGCCACAAAGTGGTAGGCCACGTAAACTGACGGAGCGGGGTCAGCGGATGCTGACGCGCATAGTGCGAAGAGGTCGCCAACTTTCTGCAGAGTCAATCACTACAGACCTCCAAACTTCATGTGGCCTTCAGATTAGCTCAAGAACAGTGCGCAGAGAGCTTCATGGAATGGGTTTCCATGGTCGAGCAGCTGCATCCAAGCCATACATCACCAAGTGCAATGCAAAGCGTCGGATGCGGTGGTGTAAAGCACGCCGCCACTGGACTCTAGAGCAGTGGAGACGCGTTCTCTGGAGTGACGAATCGCGCTTCTCCATCTGGCAATCTGATGGACGGGTCTGGGTTTGGCGGTTGCCAGGAGAACGGTACTTGTCTGACTGCATTGTGCCAAGTGTAAAGTTTGGTGGAGGGGGGATTATGGTGTGGGGTTGTTTTTCAGGAGCTGGGCTTGGCCCCTTAGTTCCAGTGAAAGGAACTCTGAATGCTTCAGCATACCAAGACATTTTGGACAATTCCATGCTCCCAACTTTGTGGGAACAGTTTGGAGCTGGCCCCTTCCTCTTCCAACATGACTGTGCACCAGTGCACAAAGCAAGGTCCATAAAGACATGGATGACAGAGTCTGGTGTGGATGAACTTGACTGGCCTGCACAGAGTCCTGACCTCAACCCGATAGAACACCTTTGGGATGAATTAGAGCGGAGACTGAGAGCCAGGCCTTCTCGTCCAACATCAGTGTGCGACCTCACAAATGCGCTTCTGGAAGAATGGTCAAAAATTCCCATAAACACACTCCTAAACCTTGTGGACAGCCTTCCCAGAAGAGTTGAAGCTGTTCTAGCTGCAAAGGGTGGACCGACGTCATATTGAACCCTATGGATTAGGAACGGGATGTCACTTAAGCTCATATGTGAGTCAAGGCAGGTGAGCAAATACTTTTGGCAATATAGTGTATGCTTAGTATGCCCTTTTCTAGGGGTCACCCTGTCTCTGTGCAAGCAGAGCAGGAGTTTCGTCTGCATCACCGGCATTAAGTCGGACCTGTTCCCGGTGCATGTTGGACTCCAGCAGGTCTGCTCTCCGTCACTGGTCCTGTCCAGAATTTTATGGACTGGATTTCTGTGGGCATAAAAATGCTGCAATCATAAAAAAATAGAAGGTTAAAACCTGCAAACAACAAAATAGATACGAACATAAAAAAGCAGCAACTTAGCCAAGCAAAGTGATCCGTCCTTCGCTTCATCTGATATGTTTTTACGGAGAGATTCTTTTCCAGTGCTATTGAAAACAAAGAACAAGTTTCAAAGAATTATTTTTGTTAAAAATTTGTTGTTCATGAAAAAGGTTTCCAGAGTAAGTATTAAAGTGCATGAAATAATTGAACCGATATGTTGTTGACTTTTTCTTCTTTTTTAAATAATTTTTCTATATATATAGTATATCCTTCTACATTGCTAGGTGGTCTTTGCTTGGACCAATAAGAAACATTTTTATTTTTTTTATGAACCCTTAAAATCGATTAGTTTGACTTATAATTATAAATTACTCCCAAATCCTTTCTTTGATTGAAAGATTTTTTTTTTATCAGATTTTTCAGACTCCTTTTTTGAAAGATTTTATCTAGAGGAATGAATGTTTTTTTATTCTCACTGGAACTCCAGGACTTCTAGATCTCATGGTTCAAAGTGGTCCGGTACCAGAACCAGAACAAGAACCAGACTGGCTCCATGCAGAAACTGTGCAATGCTGCCAGTGGCCTTTAGGTGGCACTAAACCTGAAAGATATGGGTCTAGCGCCCCTAGTGGCTTACAGTTACACAGTGCTGCTTTAAAGGAGGTCGTTTTGTGGCTTTTAACCCAAGCACAAACTAGTCTGGGAACTACGGCTCTAGAGCTTCTTAATAAAATTCAGATAATTAACCAGGCTTAAAGCCACTAACTACACATAAGTTAGTCTACAGTCTGTCACCAGTTAACAAGACTTAGAGTTAGACCTGAACAGACAGTCAGTTTTTACACAAAAAAAAGAAATTTCATTTAGTACAGCTCTCAAGACATTTCCATTTTTAAAGTGCAGCAGTGCTCAAATGTAAACAGCAGTGATAAAATGTAAAGACTGTGATCAAATGTAAACATAAGACTGGTATATGATTTACAGTTTCCAAAATGTAACAATGTAAACCCCAGCTTTAACTAATTGATAATGGTTATTAAAATAACTCAATGTTTTATATCCAGCTCCAAGGGCCCACTGCAAACATGTTGACGTGGGAGTCCTGAACATAGCAGGGTCCCCTCAGGCCTCAGTGGTCCTGTCACTACATGATTTGCATCTAAACTCCCATTCAGGTGTAAATCCCCAGGAACTACTTGGTACCCGGGATTTAATCTTTCCTTCTCCCTGAACAGCTTGAAGAAGATTCTGCAGACACTACAACAGAGAATGAGGAGGAGTTATCGGATGATGAAGAGGAGGAGAGGTCCTCCAACGGTTCCCCTGATGAGGTTTCCACGGCAACCAGAGCCAAGCTGCTGGCAGAGGGCCTGAAAGTCAAAGTGCTGAAAGTTCTTCGGGACCTGGGAAGAGTGATGGTGGTCCTTCTGCTGGGCGTGGCCGGTAAGTTCTGCTAACAGCTCTACTCTCTCAGGTGTCGTTTGAACTGACTGCAGGGAGATCAGAGGTAGAAAACTAGAAGCAGGCCGCTGGGTAACACTTTCTTTTACAGTACATCAGTAACCATGTAATAACATAGCAAGTCACACTATAGTTCTTAGTAACAAGGAAAACTTTTTGGGGGTAATTACCCCAAGATTAAGGTATATAATTTCAAAATAATAACCTTCATGCAATAATTACAATCCTATGTGACTATGTAACACTGGAGGCTTTTGTTGGGTAATTATCATTAGGTTCCAACAAAACAGTTTCTGTTATTGGCCACTACCTACCAATGGCTTACAAAGTCAATGGAACTTATGATCGGGTAAATAAAGCATTATAAAACTGAACTCAAGTTATACACTCACCAGCCACTTTATTAGGTACACCTGTCCAACTGCTCGTTAACACTTAATTTTTAAGCAGCCAATCACATGGCGGCAACTCAGTGCATTTAGGCATGTAGACATGGTCAAGACAATCTCCTGCAGTTCAAACCGAGCATCAGTATGGGGAAGAAAGGTGATTTGAGTGACTTAGAACGTGGCATGATTGTTGGTGCCAGAAGGGCTGGTCTGAGTATTTCAGAAACTGCTGATCTACTGGGATTTTCACGCACAACCATCTCTAGGGTTTACAGAGAATGGTCCAAAAAAGAAAAAACATCCAGTGAGCGGCAGTTCTGTGGGCAGAAATGCCTTGTTGATGCCAGAGGTCAGAGGAGAATGGCCAGACTGGTTCGAACTGATAGAAGGGCAACAGTGACTCAAATAACCACCCGTTACAACCAAGGTGGGCAGAAGAGCATCTCTGAACGCACAGTACGTCGAACTTTGAGGCAGATGGGCTACAGCAGCAGAAGACCACACCGGGTGCCACTCCTTTCAGCTAAGAACAGGAAACTGAGGCTACAATTTGCACAAGCTCATCGAAATTGGACAATAGAAGATTGGAAAAACGTTGCCTGGTCTGATGAGTCTCGATTTCTGCTGCGACATTCGGATGGTAGGGTCAGAATTTGGCGTCTACAACATGAAAGCATGGATCCATCCTGCCTTGTATCAACGGTTCAGGCTGGTGGTGGTGGTGTCATGGTGTGGGGAATATTTTCTTGGCACTCTTTGGGCCCCTTGGTACCAATTGAGCACACAGCCTACCTGAGTATTGTTGATGACCATGTCCATCCCTTTATGACCACAATGTACCCAACTTCTGATGGCTACTTTCAGCAGGATAATGCGCCATGTCATAAAGCTGGAATCATCTCAGACTGGTTTCTTGAACATGACAATGAGTTCCCTGTACTCAAATGGCCTCCACAGTCACCAGATCTCAATCCAATAGAGCATCTTTGGGATGTGGTGGAACGGGAGATTCGCATCATGGATGTGCAGCCGACAAATCTGCGGCAACTGTGTGATGCCATCATGTCAATATGGACCAAACTCCCTGAGGAATGCTTCCAGCACCTTGTTGAATCTATGCCACGAAGAATTGAGGCAGTTCTGAAGGCAAAGGGGGGTCCAACCCGTTACTAGCATGGGGTACCTAATAAAGTGGCCGGTGAGTGTATGTAAACAGTGTTGTATAAAGTACTGAAATCTCGGAGTCAAGTAAAAGTATAAGTACCTCTCCAAAATATGACTTTGGTAAAAGTCCAAGTCACTAACTGAAATGTTACTTGAGTAATAGTCTTAAAGTATCTGAAATGGCTTGTACTTAAGTACCATAAGAATTACTGTAAAAATAGATAAACTCAAGTAATGTAGTGAAAAGTATAAGTAAAAAGTAGTGCAGTTTGAATGACATTTTTTTTTACATTTTGGTAAACTTTCAAGGTTAAATTCACTTCAACTAATATACACAACCAAGTGTAGGATACATTTAGACCAAGTTTTATTACTGCTTAGATTGGATTAGATTAGATTAGATTAGATTAGATTAGATTAGATTAGATTAGATTAGATTAGCTTTATTGATCTCACAGCGGAGAAATTCACTGGTCACAAATTGGCATGGTAGTTAAAGAAGGTGTAAACAAGGAGGAAAAAGGTGCATTAAGAATAAACAATATATATACAGTATATCAAGATAAATAAGGATTAAGGTGCAAGTGTACATGTATCGCACACAATGAAAAACAAAATAAAAATAAGAAATAAAAAATAAAAGATAAAAATATGTACAATCCGGATGGCTTAGTGGTATGAGGTAGTGGTATGACTTCTATTCACATATATTGCACATTCAGCATATTGCACAGAATATTGCACAGTCAATAGACTTAGACACCCTGTTAGCATACAGCTAGTGTTATAGACATCATTACAAAAAAAGAAAAAAAAATGAAAGCTTATCTGGCATCTGAAGAGGGAGTGCAGTTTGAAGCCCCTTTTGTAAACGCGGCCAACATGAAGAAAAAAGAAAAGCTGTAAATTACTGTACTTCACAAACAAAAGGCACACACATAACAGGTCATTTTACAAAAGAAAAATAAATGGGAGGGAACTGCTGCTTATTTGGCATCTGAAGAGGAAGACATTTTTTGTAAAACTACCTTAAAATGTAAAAAAAAAGGCAGTGCTGAAATTAAGTGTACATCACACCAGAGAAAAAAAGATGCACTTCAGGCCAATTAACTAAATATTAACACTTTGTAAACACAAGCCCCTCATCCCCTCCACATTTTGCCCTTGACTTTTTTCTTCCCCTCCAAATCTTAACCACCCCTTGTGGTCGTCATTATCACTTGAAACTGTAAAATCTGTTCATCTTCAAAAGCCTGCTACAGTCAACATTTAGCTTAAGCTAAATGCACCACGTGTGGAACTAAAACAATGCCAAACAAAGTTCATTTATACAGATAACATTATGCTGAAGATTTCACAATAGTGTCTAGTGACCAATCTATATCCTCTTGGTGTTGATGAACAAGCCCAGGCAAGACCCGGCTTAGTAGTCAGTAGGTGGGGTCAAAACAATTCTCTTGCTCGTTTTTATTTTTTATTTGTTATTACTTAGTAACTAAACCAAACATTGAAAATTTATCGGAGTAAAAGTATGCAATTAAGTTTGTAAATGTAGTGAAGTAAAAGTGAAAGTTCTCAAAAAAATGAATCTTCTTGGAAAGTATAAAGTACTCCAAAATATACTTAAGTACAGTACTGAAGTGTTTTTACTTTACTATACAACACTGCATGTAAATAAGAGTTAATAGATAAGATAATAACACATTAATGTATTGCAGTCTTTGAAATGAATATGATTTACCTGGTAATAATGGTTTGAAATCTAAGAAATCTGACTTTACCTTGTCTGCCTAAAATCTGAAGCACAGCACTAAACCAAGTTTTTTTTGTTACATTGTAATATAGTGTAGTTTGTTAGGTTATTATCATGTTATTACCATGTTATTATCATGTTATTATTATGTTATTACTTGGTTATTGTTGCACTGTAAAAGAAGAATGTGTTCTGTCCATCTACTAAGAATCCAACAGGTCAGCCTAAAGCTTAGCTTTAATCAAACGGTCCAACTCTACCGCTGACAGACGGCAGGTTTGGACACTAAAGGAAGGGTGGCCGTCTGCAGACAGGAAACCGGACCCACCGACCCAGAGTGGGTTGCAAACAGAACCACACCATCACTGGAAAATGTGACGTTTGTGTGCAGAGTCCTGTCCTTCTGACCTCTTGGGATGGACACCGGTCGATTCCACAGATTTCACTAGGAAAGGATCAGATCAGGCCTGTTTTCACACATAGAGAGAATATCCTCCAGTTATTGGATGTCAAAAGCAGGAGCGTAACCAAAAACAGCCAGAATATAAAGTTTGACTTAAAACAGACTTGATAAAAGCGTTAATGTTCAGTCTGTCCTGTAAGTCTGCTAAGAAGGAAACGTTTTGCATTAAGTTTACAGATCTTAGTGTGAAACATTCCCTACAGCAATGGCGGGGGGGATTGATCCACATATTAATGGTGCTATTGTCACACACAAAACTGGAAATACCTCAAATGAACACTGACACCATGTCCAAGCAAAGGCCTCCTGGTTTAGGACCAGAAATAGCAGAATATTATGAAAACCTTCTTCACTAAACCATGAGAGGCTAGCAGCTGACATGCTTCTGCATCTTTAAAACATTCAATAAAAGGTGATTATAGATAAAGAGGTTTTAGAGTGTAGCCACAAACATGGATGTTCAGACTTAGAACGAAGCGCCGCAGAGGCATGTCGGCCAAATGAAACCTTAGCTGCACTGACGGCTCAGCTATGGTTAGAAACAGCAGGTGTGGGTAATAAGGAGCTTAGATGGAGCCTGAAACCAGGGCACTGGTCCAAAAACACATAGTGATAGGGAAACCTTCATGGTTGGACCAGCGCCATTAGCAGCAGATCCTTTAGCTTCAGTGGCCTTTAGATTCAGCCTTAAACATCCCCCTCATGGTGTGACGCTCTTCCTGCTTCCTGCGTTTATTTTAACCTATGCTGATATAGGCTAAAATAAATGTCAATAAAAATATGTTTTTAATTTTTAATGTTTTTTATTAAACAGTAATCTATTTAAGATTTATATTTGATAATACCAGATGGTTTCTCTGTAAAAATATAAGTTTAGAAAATATGATTACAACTAATTTTACAAGTATAAATCCAAAACTTCCAACTACAAACTACTATTTTACAACCCCCTGAAGAAGCTGTTACACTCCTTCCCAGTGTGTGGCAGTAATGAGGAACCTTTTTGGCCAACCACCTTTGAACAAGAAAATGAAGAAGAATAGAACTGCTGACTGAACCTTTTGTTCAGTCCCATTCAAAACAACATTTTAGCAACTGATGGGGTGTATTTGATTTTAGAGGCTGTCTCCTCCAAAGACACGATCTACCTGCACTGGTTCTTCAAAGTCCATCAAGAGGAGGAGGCCAGAAGAGTTTGGTTATGGATTCAAGAAGGTCCAGCCTTCTCTGGCCTCCACCACCCCTTACTCAGTGTTCCCTAGCAACCATGACAGTTGACACCTGAAGTAGGCAAAGAAAGGATGCTGAACTTCTCACTGCTGGTCTGGGTGGCTGAAAAAATTTCTGTGGAGCTTTAGCAGCAGTACCGTCATCTCAGATATCAGATTTGTAGTCCCCACCCTGCAGAGATATATGAATCTGAGCTTAAATGTCAGCCAAACTCATTTACACAGGGACAGATAAAACCTTTCAATAAATCAAACATTACCACCACATATCTGACTCGTTAATCATTAAAACAAATATTTTCATTAATTTCAGATTGAACTATTCACACACTTGGATTATATGAAACGGCACTTCCAATATTCACCACTGTTCGGCGCCATTTCCCTTTTTCCTCTGAGCACAGAGCAGCAGGCTTGATTTGGGATACCCAAAGCTACGGCGGATAAAGCAACCTCTCCATCAAAATGGGGAAAATAAAGGCTGCATTTGTCGGCCGCATAGGGAGGAGTCTTCCAATCCGAACAGGCTTTGGCGCTGCTCTATGATGTAATCAATGAATCTGGCCCTCGGAGGACACATTCGCTGAATTCGAACACAGCAGAAGGCTGAATCCTTTCCTGGACCAAAAACCACATCTTGGTTTAGGTTTCATTTTCTTTCTCTTTTTGTCTAGCTTAATTGTGGTTGGTAAACAACCTGCAGGTGATTACTGCTACCAGCTAGTTAGGAGAATAATAGTTTCATCAGGAGTTGCAAAGTTGTAGCTGTATTCTCACAGATGAAGAAGATGGTCACAGGAAGCTGAAGAAGCCCTGCAGGTTGTTTTGAGGCTACAGGCTGTCAGCCACATGGAGAGGACATCAATGCAATGACTGAGTCTGTGACTGACTACATCAACTTCTGCCTACCAGAACAGTGAAATGCTTCCCAAATAATAAACCATGGATCACAAGTGATCTGAAGCAATCGCTCAATAAGAAAGAGTAAGCCTTCAGGAAGGTAGACAGGGAAATAATGAGGAGAATAAAGAAGCAACTTGAGGTCAAGATAAGAGAAAGCAAGGAGGCAAAGAGTAAAAAGCTGGAAAACAAGCTCCAGCAGAAGATCACAAGCCTTCCCTCAGACAGGTGGAAGTCTGGACAGAGCCAATGAACTGAGCTCCTCAGGGGACGGTACTCTATCCATTCCTTTTTGCTCTGTTCACCTCTGACTTCCAGGACCAGACAGAGTGCTGTCATCTGCAGAAATACTGGGGCGACTCTGCAGTCATTGGGTGCATTAAAGATGGAGCAGAATCTGAGTACAGAGAGCTGGTGAGCCGCTCTGTGGCATGGTGTGGAAACAATCATCTGATCCCGAATGTCAACAAAACGAGGAGATGATGGTAGATTTCAGAAGAAACAGGAACAAGATGAATCCTGTTAACATCCTGGGAGAAGAAGTGGAGGTGGTGGAGGAGTAGGAATACTTTGGTGTTCACCTGGACAACAAACTAGACTGGAGACACAACTGTGTAGTCGTCTCCAAGAAGGGACGGAACAGACTGGACTTCTAGAGGAAGCTTAGGTCCTTCAGATGCTGCAGATTATCTATCAGCCTGCTGTGGAGAGGCTGATCATTTCCTCCATCATCTGCTGGGGTAACAGCATCAAAGCTAATCAGAGCTAATTCAACCAGCTGATAAAGAAGGCTGGCTCTGTTCTAGGAACTCCTCTAGAACCTCTGGAAAATGATTTCATAGAGAAGAATTCTTCATAAAGTGAAGAAGATTGTTATATTTTATCTTATAGAAGTCCTGATCAGATCAGAAATGTTTGGTGTAAACATTTCTGACTAAAGTTTCTAATCTAATTCAGTCCAAAAGGATAGAAATTTCATTCCAGAAGAGAGAGGTCTCCGTTTTTGGAGGTGCTGCTGAGCCCTTAATTAAAATGACCACCAAAAAATAAAGGATTATGCAATAAAGGTCAGGAGTGGGGGAAAAAAACGCGTCAACAGACACGACTGAAGAACCACAAAATAAATGTGCATATAAAGAAATAAAAAACAGGCAGCTTATTCTTCTACTAAAGCGATTGTGTAAAACTAGACAGATCCTCTCATGCTCAAATCATTTAAACATGCACGTCATGATCGGATCATTTTAGTTAGTGTCCATGGAAATGGAGAGTTTGAACTTCTTACCAACATCGCATCGCAGAAATTTTGTACGTAAACGTAGCTAATGAGCAGCTACTTCGATGATATTTAAACACAGTGTCTTCAGTCAGAGGCTTCTCCAGACCCGGTGCATGACAGACCTCTACAGGAGTTCCTCCTTGTCTGCAGCATCAGCAGCTGCAACAACTGAATAAAAAACAAAGCAAAAACTAAGTTACTGTAACATTGAGTTTGTCTTCAAGGTTTATACTGTATTTTAAATTGAATTTTAATTAAACATCTGATTTACATTTTAGTGACAGTAAGTTTAACCCTGTAATTCATGATGACTTCCCTCCCCAGGCATCACGCTGCCCTCTGCCTTCTCAACACTCTACTTCCTCCTCTTCATCGGCGTGTGCACCTGGTGGGCGTGCCACCTACCCATCAGCCACCTGGGATTTAATGCACTGTGTGTGATGGTGGGCTTCTACACCGCGGGTCACATGGTGTGCCTTTACCTGTACCAGAGTCCGCTGGGTCAGGCCGCCTTCCCCCCCCAGGATCTGTGGGCCAGGTGAGACAACAAGCAGCTGGATCTTGTTTAATGAGGAAAATCGATGAGAAACGGGTCAAATGTTCCCGTTATCGGAGTAGAAGCCTCAGTTTCACAGAATCACTTTAGCTCTGATCCCAGGAGAGGAACTGATCCACAGGGTTTATACAGGAACTCTAATTTAATGCTTTTTTATGCTCATCATTTTAATGCCATCAACATGTACCCATAACTCTTGTGTAAATACGTCAGTCCTTCATCATCTTTAGCGTCGACAGGCTGCAGCCATGTCCCGAATTCCTCGTTTTCCAGCCACTTTTGTTGAAATTAGCATTTTCCCATTCTCTAGCTTTTTCTCCGCCTCGAGCTTCTTTTCCGAACACACAGCTTTATGATCAACCAGAAGCAGTTCCACTGATATTATATCTGATATAATAAATCTGATCAAATTGTTTTTACAAATGTATTTTTTAATAAAGAATTTTAAATGCCATGATTATCAAATTTAATAAATTTTAATGCCAATTAAGGCCTTAATTAAAAAAATTATAATTTTATGAATTCTAATGACCCGTGGAAACCCTGATCTAGAACGTACAGCACCAGTAGAATCGTTTTACTGTCATTGCAGAAACTGCTGGAACAACCAAACACATTTAATCTTTTTGCTTCTAAGTTAAATTTTTGGCCCATTTTGTTGTAACTTAAACAGTAGAGCAGTAGTTCACAAAGTGAATACTGTTCCTTATGCTGTGGTAAATCCTCCACCCTTCTGGAGGACACGGAACGCCACCAGGCTGGGAATGTTTTTCCCATCCTTCCCAGCCTTAGTATCTTAGCCTGGTGAGACCATCCTGATCTCGCGAGCTTTCAAGGTTTCACTCCCAGATCAGTCTGGCTACTTTCCGTTAAAGAAAATTTGGAGCCGTTCACCAAACGAACGTCCAATCAGCGTTGGCTTTGAGGCGGGTTGAGGTGTGACGCAACGAGAAGTTCAGTCTAAAGAACATGGCGGCTTCAGCCGATGAAACTAGCGTTAGCGTGGCTATCGAGCAAGTTTTATCGGAATTACAGAGTATTTCTTCACAGAAAGAAGAGCAAAACACTGCTCTGGAGGCTTTTCTCAGAGGAAAAGATGTTTTTGCTCTTCTCCCGACTGGTTTCGGCAAGAGTTTGATCTATCAATTGGCTCCTCTTCGTCGTCGCTCTGTTAGTACGTCATATGCTTCGTTGATCTGATTGGTTTATTTGGCCCGTCTATCACCAACATAGGCCAATCAGCTAACCAGTATTTTCGCCCCTTCCCAAAATTACTTCAACGGAAGGTTTCCAGATGGATATGCAGAGCAAATCCATCTGGTGGAGTCAGGTTATTAGTATCTGTGTTTCTGAGCAGAAAGCAGTGGTTCTAGATTTCAGAGAGCTGAGCTGCTTGGTGCGACGTTGGGAATGTTCGCTGATCTGTTCATCATCTGGACTGTGTCGTTTGAACCATCTGATCCTTCTTTCTCCATGTTTCTGTTCAGACTGTTTGGTCTGAAGGACATCATCATCCCAGGAAACTGCTCCATGCCCGATGACCTCATCCTCAATCACAGTCATGACTGGCCGGTTTACGTCAACCCAGGGATCCTCCTGTTGCTCTACATCACTGTAGCAGCTGTCATCAAATCAGGGCTGCATGCTGCCTCCAACCAGGTATCCACAGCTTCATCGCTATGCTACCAACCGCTCACACCAAAAGATTGACTTTCCATGTTATCCCCCTGGAGAGGCATCAGCAGGGGCCCATTAATGGGAACCATGCAAAGGACGCCGCAATGCTGCAATCAGGGAGATTAAGCAAAGTATGACTGCGGATGGTGAGTTAGATGAGCCAAGAGAGTGAAGCACAGTGGAGATTGGTGAGATGGACGTGCAAATAAAGCTAAACCTTTAATCATTGTGGACGTGCAAAGATAGAACACGAAATATCTGTTTTGATTGGCTGGAAAAACAAACTAAAAATGAGTAAAAATGTATTAAATTAACCATATTTACCCTTAATTTGAGCAGGTAAATCAGAGTTTGCCAATTGAATGAGTATTTTTACTCTTAAAATAAGATAATTAGATAATATGCACTTGAAATAAGATAAAGCAATTGTGTTTTCTTATATTAAATGTAAATTGTCTTGTTCCATTGTCAAAATGTCTAATTTTACTCCTCAATCCAAGAACAAATGCACTTATTTTAAGAAAAAATGACTGATCTACATTTTGATTTTTTTTCCAGTCCAGTGCATATTTATTATCTATTGGCAAACTATCTCATTTACCTTCTCAAATTAAGGGGAAATACACTTCATTTAATAAATTTGTACTTATTTCTAGGTTGTTTTTCCAGTGTGAAGTCATGCAGTGACAGAAAGGAGAAAGGTCATCATCAGATGGAGTTTTTATTTTAATGTAACTGATTTAATAAATGAAATATTTTTCTGCTTCAATGAAAATGTTTTCTTGGATGGAAGAAAAGAAATAAAACATAAAGAGATTTGTGCTTCACCATGGCTGGCAGGACGATCTAAATGTATTATCCTACAAAGGATGCGTGAAGAGAAGCAGCACGTTTAACTTTAACCTTCTTTTATAATGGTGTGTTTTCATTTCCAGCAGGAAAAAAGAAAAGTTTCAGACGCAGAAGAACTGCTGGAGTTAAAGTCATGGAGGCAACCCAAAGACGACTGTGAGGATGAAACCCAGGTAGCTGCAGCTCCGTCTCTTCAAAAGTATTCACACCCCCGACTCTAAGCAATGGCGTTGATGCTTTTTCCTCAAATCATGTGACCTTTATTCTTCTTTGGTACATTTCTTTAATTGAAAGAACATTTATCTGATTCAAATATGAAAGAAAAACCAGCCCCAATAGCCTGGCTGCATGGATACACTGGAAAAAAACAAAATCTAGCTAAGTAATTTTTTCTTAAAATAAGTGCATTTGTTCTTGGATTGAGGAGATAAAAGATACATTCAACCAATGGAGCAAGACAATTTACGCTTAAAATAAGAAAACACAATTACATTGTCTTGTTTCAAGTGCATATTATCTAATTATCTTATTTTAAGAGTAAAAATACCAATTCTATTGGCAAACTCTCTCATTTACCTACTCAAATTAAGGGTAAATACACTCAATTTAAGACATTTTCACTTATCTCTAGATTGTTTTTGCAGTGTATACACACCTTTGACCTACACTGGAAATACAGGTAAAAATTTCTTAAAATAAATTTATTTTCCCTTGATTTGAATAGGTAAAAAGGATAATTTGCCAATGGGATGAGTAATTTTACTCCTAAAATAAGAGAATGAGATAATATGCACTTGTAATAAGACAATGTTTTTGTTTTTCTTATTTTAGATCTAAATTATCTTGTTCCATTGGCAAAATGTCTATTTTATCTCCTCAATCCAAGAACTAATTAACTTATTTAGAGCAAAGATGACTTATCTAGATTTTGAAATAAAGCCGTCAGTCTTTGTTGGTTCAGCTGTGGGGAATCTAATGAAGCTCAGAGGCTGCAGCCATCCTGGATATCTTAATTTTCATTTAAACCAGGACAGCCCCCTTTTTTTTTTTAGAGGGAGGGGATCTATGGCAGAGTGACGGCAATCCCCCCATGCACTGCAAAAAATTTTGCGATGCAAAAAAAGTCATTTTTTTCTTAAAATAAGGGCATTTTTCTTGAATTAAGGAGGTAAGTGACATACTTTGCCAATAGAACAAGACGATTTACATTTAAAATAAGAAAAAACAATTGCATTGTCTTATTTCAAGTGCATCATATCTAATTATCTTACATTAAGAATAAAAAAGTTAACTACATTGGCAAATCATCTTATTTACCTGCTCGAGAGGTAAGGGGAAATAGATTTATTTTAAGAAATGTTTGCTTATTCCTAGAAGGTTTTTGCAGTGTGACTGCAGAAAAGATTAAACTTTACCAAGTCTGAACATTGCTCCACATCTAAAAGAAGATAAACTGTTTAAAGAGCAACAAGACAGAGGAGATTTCTAAGAAAGAAGATATCTATGCTGCATTAAAACCTCCAAAAACTCCTTTATTCTGTGATAAAACTGAATATGAACTCTAATGGGTATATTAGGCTGGAAAGATCACTGAACACTAAACTTTCTGGAGTCACCGTACTTCTAATACCAGCAGTTTTTATTTAAAAATGTCTTAATTTGAGTAGGTAAATGAGATAGTTTGCCAATGGAATGAATATTTTTACTCATAAAATAAGATAATTAGATAATATACATGTGGAATAAGACAATGCAAATGTGTTTTCTTATTTTAAGTGCAAATTGTCTTGTTCCATTGGCAAAATGTCTTTTTTACTTCTTTAATCCAAGAACAAATGCACTTATTTTAAGAAAAAAATGACTTATGTAGATTTAGATTTGTTTCCAGTGCAAGCAGAGGGGGTGACTGTAGTCAGGAAGCATCCTGCTGACGTTAAAAATATAAAATAAAGGCATGTTTCCTCATTAAATATATCAAGAGAGCCTGACAGACACTTACGGCTCTGATCTAGCGGATGAACACTAAGATTCTGTCCCAACACGACTAAAGCCCAAAGTGTAACCCCTTCACTTTTAAAACACCCGCAAAGTAAAACAGAAAATGTGAAAACATTTTTTTCAGAGTGTCCGTTTGATTTCTATGCCATCTAAAATCATCAAGCTGCACTGATGTTGTTTCTGATGAGCCTGGATGTGGAGAGATCACTCGTTTTATTCATTATTTGCCAGAATCTGACCGCTTGAAGCTTTTCTCAGACTGAAAAGCTGTTTCAGAACCAGGAGGCTGTTCCTAAACACAGACGCTGAACAAGTCTTTGTTATTCTGTGCTATTATTTATGTCATAATTATAGACTGCTCCATGAGCGTCTGGCTGCTCAGTGCTGCATAATGTCGAGGAATTTAGCCGGAGGGAGTATTACTCTGCTGCTGCACACTGCAAGTGATCTACAAAATTAACATGTTAAGTTACGTGTATTAACTCTAAGTTTCAGTAGGTAAATATGATGCTTTTTCTCCTAAAATAAGATAGATAATATGCACTTGAAATAAGACATTGAATTCTTTATTATTTTAAATGTACTTGACTTATTCCATTGGTAAGGTGTCTGACTTCCTCATTTTAAGGAAAAATGACTTTAGATTTAGTGCAGTAATGGCTTCTAACACCGATTCCTGATCAATTCTGTTAAAAATGAACTAAGTGCACGGTGACATTCGTCTACCTTCGCTGAGACATTCTATTTCTGCCTCGATGAAAACAGAAAGCAGTGAACGGGAGCCGCCAGCCTCTGAGCAGCCAGGCTACCCGTCTCATCACAGTCATCTAAATCTAATGGAGAAGGCATCCGTTTAATGAAAAAGCATTACTGTACAATTTTGGGAAATAAACTCATCTCCCCCTGATTTAAATAAACGAGCGCCACTTTTCTCTCACTCCCTGAACTGCAGAGTAACTTGGTAGCATGTTTAATAACCCCAAAGAGAGGTAGGAAACTGGTTTAATTCCAGAAATGTCATATGATTCACTAGGAGCCACATTAAGCACAGCCAGTGATATAAAACTAGCTACTAACCACCAGAGTCGCCTTCCATGCTGGTCGTAACTTTAGCTTCTGTCCGGAAGCATCAAAAACACGGCATTCGTTAAAATGTATGCCATGTTGGGTGCGCAGGTGCTTTCTCTTACTTAAGTTGAAGCCAAACTTTCGATCGCTTTGAGCGCTTTTGTTTTGCTTTTCTAGACTTACACCTGGTCACGTGGTACTTGCTTACTGAATGCCGTGTGCGTAACTTGCGTGGAAAACGTGACGTAATTCGTGCTGCCCAGCGCTAGGCTCTGGTGCTGCCTGGAACCGTTAAGAGAACTGCCAAACGGTGCCATGGAATTGGAACATATAGAACCAGTTCTGAACAGGAACCGGTTCCTGATTCCCATCCCTAGGCTGCATGCAGTGATGATACTGCAACCTGGAGGTATCCCGTTAACACCTGCAGTAGACTGATGAGCAGTTATTTCCCTGGTGTATGGTGGCTCAGATGGGACAAGGGAGAGGCTGTCTACAGACGGAGCTAACCTGGGCAGGTATCGGCTGAACATGCTGTTCCTGAGGTTGGAAGTCCTGCCAATGAGAGGTCAGATGAAGAAGGGGGTGGGGGTTTCGCCTGCTGCTGCACTCTCCCAGTCAGCTGGCTGAAAGGAGAACCGCACTGGTTGATCTTTCTGGACAGAATCTCCTCCACAGAATCCCTGGCCTTCATTCTGACTCAGTTCTAACTCTCCGGTCGGCCTGGTTACATGTCTGCCGTGTTTTATTGTATCAAAAAAAAACAACAACCAATAAATATTTGGTTTCTTTACTCCAGGTCACGCTGGTATCCAGAGAGTCAGAGGGTCCAGAGGAAACTGCGGCTGCAGAACATCAGTCAGGTACAGAAACAGCATCCGGATTCTTCCTGTGGATGAGGTCATCCCCCGTCTGCAGCCTCCTGTCAGCTCCTGAGTGGAAATGTTGGTTCTGATCCGTAAAATCAGTAAATCCAGCACAAGAAGAAACGTTTTGCACCCCCACCAACATGTTTCCAGCGGGTCAGGGCTGACTGATAGGAGGCATCAGACGGAGATGGATCGTCTCCACCGCCTCCCTCTTTATGAGGCCCCCAGACTGTCCTGCTCCCCCCCGACTCCTGTCTTTGCTGATGGGTTCTCCTTGTTGCAGGTGCTCCTGAGGCGCCGAAGGGCCCACTGAACGAGAGCCCATTTTTCCTGCTGGGGAGGGTGGTCATGCAGCAGAGTTATGTCTGTGCCCTCATAGCCATGATGGTAACCCTGCTTTCTCACATAAAGTCACATGATGCTGCTGCAGCTCTGCGCTGAGCTGATAACCTGAAAGGATTCAATGAAATCTGGTTTTCATGGTTTTTTTGTTTCTTTAGTGTGACTGATTGAATCCATAAATGGGTAATTTGTGTTGCTTAGAGATGTAATGGGTATTAACTAATCTTGGTCATAGGGTGAGATAATAAAAGGGCATAAATTAATGCGACATCAGATGTTTTATCTGCTAGAATGCAAGTTTAGAAGTGTAAACTTTGCAAAAACACAAGAACAAATTTCACTTTTCTGACGCACCTGAAGGTTAAAATAGGTAGGGGAGGGAAATGGAATCATCAATTAAACTTTACTTAAATGATTTGATTGCATACATTGCTTTTTTTTTTTTGAGTAAACAAAGATTAGACTCCTAAGAATACAGATTAGAATAGAGATGATGAGCACGAAGAAATATAGAACAAATGTAATGATATAAAAGAGTTGCATTAAAAGAATATATATGTATACAAATTATATCTGCAAATATCTTATATTCAACACCAAAAAGAACATTTTGTTAAGCAAGTTATGCAAATTAGCAATAAAGAAATAAATCAATTATGACTATTCAATAGTAAATTAGAGCAAATAAACTGATGGAAAGATGTAAATATTGACAAGAAGCAATCACTAACATTAAAAAAGATAAAGAATATAAGATCTAAGGGTTGATTAAGAATCACATTCGGACAGAAAATAATCCAGTCTCTTTTCATTGGAAGGATAAAGAAAGACAAAGATTTGGTAAGACGACATGTCTATAGAAGATTGGACCATAATTATGTTATTAAACATAAATTCAATTTGTTTAACGTGGACAATAATACCAAATGTAATGGATGCACAGCTTAACACTCGATCGATGCTTGTCGCTACCCGATCCGTACCGGTAGCACGATCCGTACCATCAGCTCATTTGCGCCTGTGCGAACAGAATAACTTCCGGGTCGCCAAAAAAATAATGTAATTACGGTACTGAAAAAACTTTATTTATATCCTTAAATAATTAAAGAATACTAAACTACGTCGTAAAGACAATATTGAAGACTTTTCAGGAAGAAATGGATGCTTTTTAAATTCAATCCATTGTATTGCTTGACGTCATTTTTCTGGAATAAAAATCAAAATTTTCGGGAAATGTTCCCTTATCAATGAAAAACTGCAGGTAACGAAAGGTAGCAAATGAATCCATTGTGGGATCAGTACTGCTGGAGTGCATAGTTAAGTACAGAGTAAATCAAATATTTAAACAAATTTAAATATATACGCTGTGTGACGTATATTTGCGCATGCTCAGAGCAGTCAAAGTAACTATCACAAGGCGATTGAACTTTTTTATGTATTTCTGTTTTTTTATTTTTAGAAAATGCAATATTGACGAAAATACAAAGATAAACAAAAAGAAACCCATGCCTCTAAAAAATACAAAAGAATAAAAAAGTAAGAAAAAGGAAATATTTCCACCGGAAGTTATCCTGTTTGCGCACGCGCAAATGAGCTGATGGTACGGATCGTGATTCCGGTACGGATCGGTTAATGACAATGCTTCTTGTTTCTTCTTCTTCTCCCTGATAAAAGGCTGCATTCAGGTGCATTACTGCCACCAGCTGGTAAGGAATGGAACAGCTGCATCTGGGACTTTTTGCAAATTTCTAACCTCTAAACTTTTATTCTCTCAGCTAAAACATCAAAATGACGTTTGCATGAGTTAAAACCAGGAACAAATGCAGGTCTTTATTCATATTTATAAATTCTTGCAGTCTTTGCATATATTTTTATTGATAATTTATCGTATTCATAAGAATCTAAATTTGTTTTCATTTTAAAATAAGTTCAGTCACATTCACTACATTTTGTTTTATCCATTCCTTTACATCATATCTCAGACACCTGGGAAATAAAACAGACTCTATTATTCATTAGGATATGAACCTTCATAACAGAACACTGATTCAAACAGTCCAACTCCTGCTGACCCGCTTTGTGGTTCTGGTTGCATTTGTTCTGTGTTGTTCAGGTTTGGAGCATCACATACCACAGCTGGCTGACGTTTGTCCTGCTGCTGTGGGCGTGTCTCATCTGGATGCTGCGTTCCAGGTACCATCGACACTGAGGACGTCTTCCTCTGTCAAACTGTTTGTCACTTTTTTCCTGTTGGGCAATTAATGGCAACGTCACAATCTTGCAACAATGGGCCTTGTTACAGTACATGCTTGTCAGGAGGCCAAGCAGTCTTGGAGGTGGGACCCAAGCCGATAGAAAAAGGTTTTTAGTTCTTTCTGGTGCAGCGCATCAACCAAACCACACCAGCAACAGAACAATGGCAGACACGCTTCTTATATAGAGGTGGAACTAAATTGGAAAAAACCATTAAACACATAAAAGGGTACAAAGCTGCAAAACAAGAATATTATTGTTTGAAATGAACAGCCAATGCAGCAAAACATCAAGACTAAACAGAAATATCTTAATTCAATCCAAACAAATGCTGAAAACTTAACAGATAAACCGCATTCATGAGACCCCCCACCCTTCAATTGTCTAATGGTGCAACCCTGTGCACACCTGCATGGAGAGGTGAATGGCAGAGGTTAATATTTCAAAATGAACTTTGACATTTTACCTCTTCAATATAAGCGTTTCCTTTTTAGGAAGATTTTATAAATTAATAAAGGTATTCTTTAAAGAAAAAAAGATGAGGAAAGAAGCCTCACCCTAAACAAATCTACTGCATTTGAAAAAAAAACAAAATAAACCAAACTACAAAACCAGATTCTGTTTTTAACGGTTATCTTTAACAAAAATACAGCTAAGAACCGCTCATTGTTACAGGCTCCTTTCAAGCAAGCTTTCAAAAACTGAAAGCCTGTGATGAAACATCTGCAAGCTTTAAGTTGGAGCAAAGGAAAATCAAAATAAAATATCTGTGAAAACTAATCGCAAGTTCGATTTTTTGCAAAATCGTTCAGCCTTAGTCTATATCGACAGAAGTTTGCTTGTTATTGGGGAAACTGGTGCTTTCAAGAGTTTATTTGAACCTTTGGGTCAAAACGATTTTAAAGCATGGTGGTTCAGTAATTTAAAATAGTAACAATGTTTTTATGGACATTCTGTACTTTCCAATATGAGAACTATTGAGCTACTACATGAGAACTGAAGCCGAACAGAACCAGAATCTGAGCTGCATCTCTGTCTCCTGTCCAGACGCCACGCAGCAACGCTGTGCTCTCCGTTCATCCTGCTCTACGGCCTGGCTCTCTGCTGCCTGCAGTATGTCTGGGCCATTGACCTGGAACCCATCCTGCCCACCAAGGTGGGGACCATGAGCCTCAGACAGCTGGGACTGGACAGAGCGGAGTACCCCTGTCTGAGACTGGGAGCTATGGTAAGGTTTGGGCAGAGGAAGAGAACATTCTATCTGTTGGTTGTTAGAAGATTTAGGTAAAAAAGTGACGTCTAGATGAAGAATTCACTCATGGTTCCCAGGTGGCTTCTAGATAGATTCACACACAGATAAAAAAGCCATCAAAGGGGCCCAGAGGGAGGTGCTGCATGTAGGAATGTCCATTAGAAGGAGAGGGAGTGGCAGCAAGCTTAGCTTAGCCTAGCTGTATTGAAGCATGGACACTGAGCAGAGGGACTTATCTAGCCTCGTGAGACCATCCTGATCTCGCGAGCTTTCAAGATTTCACTCGCTAATCAGTCTGGAGACTCTCCGTTGGAGAAAATTTGGAGCCGTTCCCCAAACGAACGTCCAATCAGCGTTGGCTTTGAGGCGGGTTGAGGTGTGACGCAACAAGAAGCGCGACAGTTCAGTCTAAAGAACATGGCGGCTTCAGCCGATGAAACTAGCGTTAGCGTGGCTATCGAGCAAGTTTTATCGGAATTACAGAGTATTTCTTCACTGAAAGAAGAGCAAAACATTGCTCTGGAGGCTTTTCTCAGAGGAAAAGATGTTTTTGCTCTTCTCCCGACTGGTTTCGGTCTATCAATTGGCTTGTGCCTGGCTTTTGGTTGTGTTTTCGTCTTCGCTCTGCTAAGGTACTTATCTGCTAAGGTACAGACTTACTAATGGCTGAAGCTGCCAAGGCGGCGGAGGACGAGCCTGGATTCAAACACAGCTGGTCAATAGGGGAAGGAAAGACATTTATATATTGAGCACAACTCATTACAAGGACAATTCAAAGGGCTTTACATGAATAAAACAATAAAATAGAAATAAAGCAAATAAAGATAAAAGCAGGCAGTAAAGCAGCTCAAACAGTTGGACCACAACCTTAAACCAATAATAGCTCAGCTAACAGTTTAACTCCATTAGTCAAAGGCAGCTCTAAACTAATGGGTTTTTAACTTCGACTTCAAAGAACTCAGGCTTTCAGCTCTTTTCCAGTCTTCTGGCCGTTTTTTCCAGATCACTGGAGCATAGATGCTGCTTCTCCATGTTTGGTTCTAGTTCTGGGTGGACAGAGTAGACTGGAACTAGAAGACCGGAGTGGTCTGGGAGGTAGATCCACTGACAACAGATCTGTTATGGATTGAGGTGCTGATCTATTCAGAAAATCACAGCGGGGGACGCTCTAGTTTACTTTTGCACCAGAATTGCCCAGAATGCAGCAGGTCTATGTTGTATGACCTGGATATTTCTATAAGATTTCAACAAATGGCTGCTATAAGAGTTTTTTTTCTATTGAAAGGGGTTTTCTTTCCATTTGATTGGTTCCATCGTGTTTTGGCAAACTCTGTTTGTCCCGCCTTTAAAGTCTGACCTTCAATCACTTTATGACTTCCCACTGCAAAAACGATCTAGAAATAAGTCAACATTTCTTAAATTAAATGCATTTAGCCTTAATTTGAGCAGGTAAATAAGAGGATTTGCAAATGTAATGAGTTTTTCTACCCTTAAAATAAGATAATTAGATAATAATCACTTGAATGTGATTGTTTTTTTCTTATTTTAAAACTAAATTGTCTTGATCCATTGGCAAAGTTCACACTTACCTCCTCAATTCAAGAAAAAATGCACTTATTTTTAAGAAAAAGTGACTTATTGAGATTTCATTTTTGTCCAGTTGACCTTCTACTTCCCTCTCTGGTCAGTCTGTCTGGCTGGAGAACAGGATGACTCATTACAGAGTAGAAATTTGGGGCCATGATGATGAAAGCACATACCAGTGATGTAGGCATTTAGTAGCTACCGTGGTCTGAGCCAGGTTGGGAGAAAACAAAAAGCAACAAACGTTTGACCATTTTGCCACTATTGAAGCAAAGTTTGCAGAACTAAATGAGCAAATGGACACAGTTGATACTGTTGAAATGCAAAAAAAATAAGATTTTGAGCTACAGTTGAGGAATGTTCTAAAATATGTAATTTTCCACGATAAGAAACAATTTCATATATCTGAAGTTTCTCAGTCATCCAGGTCCTGGTCAAGCTTACTAACGCCGTTACCTTGTTTTAGTAACGAGTAATCTAACTAATTACTTTGACTGTAACTATAACGCAGTTACCATTGCAGACACCCCGTTACTGCGCGTTACTCAGGTCAAACAATGAACCTTTTTTCATGATAGGACTCGTGCGCGCCTTGTCATGAGAGAGGGGAGGATGAGAATGGCTGATGTATAGTGAGATTCCGTCTGTCAGTTGGGTAGGTGGGTGTTTCTGCTGGCGGGTGTTAACGTGCAGCACGAACAGAGAGATGAAATCAGGAGGACTCCAGCAGCTAAACAGCGTTTTCCATATGGAAATACCGGTGTTACGTCGAGCTGCGTTTCCCCATCACATACAGTTTCCCCTGCATCTCCACACAGCGCAGGAGGCACGATTCACCGCGCAGGCGACAGGAAACGGGCATGCTCGCTAAAGGCGCATAACAGCCGCTCTGTGCTCGCGCCACAGGAGAACTATGGAGAGCGTGAACGATCAAATGAAAGGGAGAAATCTGGATGGATGGATGGATGGATGGATGGATGGATGGATGGATGGATGGATGGATGGATGGATGGATGGATGGATGGATGGATGGATGGATGGATGGATACTCCTCCTTTTCAACCTACTGTATTTTTTTTTTAACATTATTTGATGGCCTTTGTGGCAGGGATGGAGATCCATATTTTATGTCACACACAAAGTATACATCTAGATAGATAGATAGATAGATAGATAGATAGATAGATAGATAGATAGATAGATAGATAGATAGATAGATAGATAGATAGATAGATAGATAGATAGATAGATAGATAGATGTTGCAGTATCTATAACAACCCAAACACACAGGATTTCAGAATTAGACATCCCCAGTTATTAATTTCATATACTCACCAGATCTGAATGCCCTGTTAAAAAACTTCACATTGCGTTCCCCCCTGATGTCATTTACGTTGAGTTGCAATAAATGCTAAACTCTCTGCAGGTTCTTGTCTTTGTCGTCCGCTCTATTCAGCTGGCTTTGGACACACACGGCGAGAAGGTGGGGGCTGGGCGGTGAGGGTTACGGGGGCGAGAAACGCAAAAGTAACGCAATAGTTACTTTTACTAGTAACTAGTTACTTTTATTGTGGAGTAACTCAGATAGTAACTCAGTTACTTTTTGGGAGAAGTAACTAGTAACTATAACTAATTACTTTTTCAAAGTAACGTGCCCAACACTGTCAATAATACATGCACTTAAGAAAAAATTACTTTTTTAGAGATTTTGTTTTTTGTTTTTCCAGTGTAGAGATATTTTTTTCTGTAAAGTAAATCTTCACAGACTTTTCTATTTTTTTCAATCATTTTTGTCTGTTTGTCCTTCCAGCTGTTGTTCACCCTGACCTTCTGGCTGTTGGTGCGTCAGTCCGTGAAGGAGAACTTCAGGAGAAAGAGCAAACGGTCGACACCACTACAGGAAGTCACCACCAAAGGTAACTGAATCTGGATTAAAGAGCTGTTGTTGAAGATGTTTCTAACCAAAGGAGAGGCCCAGAAACCATATACTAGGAACCTGGTGGCTGCTTCCGTAATCTCAAACATCTTCAGGAGCCATGATTCATAGATGTGTTCCTCCCCATCACAGTTTCTCCTTTTTGTCTGTGACGTCTCGCCTTTAGAACTGGGTGCGGGTGGAGAATCGGTGCTGAAGGTTCTGGGAGGCATGGTGATGAGCTGCTACGCCAAATACTGGATCTATGTTTGTGGGGGGATGTTCATCATGGTCTCCTTTGCTGGGAAACTGGTCGCATACAAGATCGTCTACATGTTGCTCTTCCTGCTCTGCCTCTGCCTCTACCAGGTAGGAAAGACTTGACTGCATGTTGGTTCTGTTGTTCAACGTTCTGCCTGAGCAGGTTCTGATCTGGAACATTAGACAGAAGCTTAAAGATGCTTTCAATTCAATCTAGCTTGTTTATTTATATAGCGCTGATTCACAACACGTCATCTCAAGGTAATTTACAGACAACATTCAACCAGATCATCCAGTCAGATTTGTTCAGTTTTCTATCTAAGGAAAACCAGCTGATTGCATCGACTCATTGACTCCAATGCAATCCCTCGCACTAAGCATGCTTGTAGCGACAGTGGAGAGGAAAAACTCCCTTTTAACAGGAAGAAACCTCCAGCAGAACCAGGCTCAGTGTGAGTGTCCATCTGCTGAGGGCGACTGGGGTTCAAGGAGACAGAAGCAGACAAAAAAACAGCTCCACAGGCGACCCCGTCCAGGAAACAGCTAGGCAGATGAGCTCCGAGCCAGCTCCCATGTCAGTGAGAGAAACAGGACTACACTGAAAAACAGGCCAAGCTCCAACATCTAGAAACAAAGGTGTTGATGGCAGCAGCAGATATTTCTCTCCAGGATGGAGTCACAGCCAAACAGGAACAGACCAGATGAAGCTACTATGAGAAAAAGCAGAGAGAGCAGAACGTTAGAGATTGAACTAACAGATTCTGCAGAGTAGGAGAATAGAGATAGAATGAAGCAGATGGAATGATGAAATGGGGGTCCCTATGTCCTCCAGCAGTCTAAAGGCTGATTTATACTCAGAAACCAGGTCTTCTGTGTCGCAGTTAACGCAGATATGCCCCCCCATCCCTCCATCAGACACTCTGCTGCACCTCTCCCAAATTGTAGGTGACCGCAGACAGTGCCGAAGACAGGAGGCCTCCGATTGGTCAGATCTACATCCTCTCTACTCTATGCGTATTTCCTGTTTGGTAGCTTACTGGCTTGTTTTGTTTGTATGACCGCCATTGTGGAAAACAACTCGTGATGATGGACCACTTAGAAGAGCGAGGTGCGTGAGAAAACTGGGAGCCTTTTTCCACCTGGATCCCCACTCTTTTTGGCCCTCATGTCCCTCCATTGTTGCACAAATTTGCCCCCCCTTCCTCACCGCCTCGGCCGTATCTAGACCCACAGCTAGGCTTCAATATTGGCCAGAAATCAAAACTATCTGCGTTGTGCCTGCGACAAGCTCACTGCGATAACCTGCTGTCGGAGGATATCCTGAGCTTTTACTACATTTGTGCTGCTATAGGCTTAAGGGCTGCTTATATTTAGTATTTTGGATAAGGTATAACAAAGGTAGAGGCACAGTGGGACCAAGTTAGAGCCAAGGAGAAACGTCTATCCGGATTGAAATTCTCCCCCACCCCATCGAGGCCGTTCAGAGGAACATCCAGTCAGGGATGGTGTCCCCCTGCGATGGTGGAGCGATGATTGCAAAAAATGACCAATAGAAAAGATTGCTACGATTTCTATGACCCAAAACACACTGAAGTTCCTGAGGATGTCCTAAAATATACACAATAAAACTAAAATAAAATTACTTTACGATTGCTGAAACCTCCCCCCCTTAAGTAGTAATAAAGCATAAAGACGGCAGAGGAAACCTGAACTCTACATTTCTATAATCTAGTCTCTCGTTCTATTCCTGTTCCACTGTTTATGCTGCCAGGCTTTTATTGTTCATCTATAATACACCATAGATTAAGGTAACGTTTTGTATCTTTGTGGTTTGCATGTTGCATTTCTTTCTTTATGTTGACTTACATTCATTTCAGTTACTGCATCTAACCCTGACATTTACCAGTATATATCTAACCCAAAGCCTGTCCTGTTGGTACTCAGAAGGTTAGTAAATATCCCAAAAACAATCCTAAATAGGTAACAGAAACAAGTATAAACACATATATATTCAATTCAGTTTATTTAAATTTCGCTAATTTACAATGTATGTCAACTCAAGGCTGGACCAATTAATTGGATCAGTCATGAATAATCGATTATTGAAATAATTGTCAAGATTTAGTAATTGATTAATCATTAACTGGAATATAGAGACTCGAAAATACACTGAAAACACAATCTATAAATACGAACAAATTTCTCAAATTAAGTCTATTTACCCTTAATTTGAGCAGATAAATAAGATCATCTGCCAGTGGAATGCATTTTTTTATTCTTAAAATAACATAGTTAGACAATATGCAGTTGAAATAAGACAATGCAGTTGTTTTTTTTTATATATAAATTGTTTTGTTCCACTGGCAAAGAGTCTCAACTCCTCAATTCAAGAAAAACAGCACTTTATATAAGAAAAAATTACTTGTTTAGATTTACTTTTGTTGTATTGTATGCCTTTAGCTGACATTTAGCGGACATTTGAATTGAGAAAGCTTCCTGGAGAGGTAGCGAAACGTCTTCAAATCTTGGAAACCAAGTCCAGTGGATATTTTTTGAATTTTTACGGAACTTTAGCTGACAGAGCGACCCACTTAGAGCAGGAATTAAAAATAATATAAAAAAAATCAAGTGGAAAACTTTAAGTTTCACCTGGTTTCATTTCATAAAAAGTCTTCTTTAAGGAACCTTTGGCTAAAATAATAAACTACTTAGAAAAAGATCTACAAGAAATATAAAAGTTGCATTTATGATTAAAACTTATTATATATATTTAAATGTTCATAACATGTATATAATTATAGATAGACACATATATTGATTTTTATAAGTTTAAATAATGTAAAATGTGCAATAAAGTTTGTTCATTCATTTTGAAATGTCAGTTAATTAAAAGTCTCTCTTTTTAGAATATTTGATAAACAATAATAGATGAATTGACCAATAAAATAATCAATCTCTACTTTATTGTCTGCAGCATTCATGCATGCACACCTCTCCTCCTCCTGCATGCAGACGTGTTCAGAAACCTGCTTGCATCCTGATGCATGTTGTTTCTGTGTAGCTCCTGCTCTGCAGGATCCTCCGGATCATGTTTATAAATGAGAAGAGAGTCTAAAATCATCTACCTGCTAACATAGAACAGATGTTTACTCCTCTGCCCCTTCAGGGTAGAGGAGTAAACATCACCGCTGTTTTAATCTGAAAGCTGGAGGTCAGGGATCGCCATCTGAGGCGACGTGTGGTCCGTTTGGACCGCCGCTCGTTAGGCAGAGATCAGCCCTGGCTGGTCTGAGTTGGCGCAGAGCTCGTCCAATCAGGACGCTGAGATCCTCGTACATTTTAGATGCAGTTTTTTTGAAGAATGTCTGCTTTGCTGCTGACTCCAGTTCCGTCTCTAACCAACACCTGCTCCCCGTCCCTCAGGTCTACTACTCTCTTTGGAGGCATCTGCTGAAGCTCTTCTGGTGGCTGGTTGTGGCCTACACCATGCTGGTGCTCATCTCCATCTACACCTACCAGTTTGAGGATTTCCCTAAATACTGGAAAAACCTGACTGGTTTCACAGACGACCAGTATGTTTCCCGCCGTTGGTTTACTGGTTTTCTGTTGAACATGGAGTAATCGGGCTGTGTTGCGTCGGCAGGTTGGCGGCCATCGGTCTGGAGACGTTTGCTCTGTCTGAGCTGTTCTCCAGCATCCTCATCCCAGGTTTCTTCCTGCTGGCCTGCATCCTGCAGCTGCACTACTTCCACAAGCCCTTCATGAGGATCACCGACCTGGACCAGGTGACGCCCATACACAGGTACAGCAACACCAGTTCTAAAAAATTATGAGTCCATTATGAGACGGCAGCAATGCTCCTTGAAAATACCAGCATGTTCTGCGTCCAGAAGGAGGAAGAACGGAAGACCTGAGGAGGCCAGCTCCCACGGTTTGACCAGGAACCCTGAGGAAGAAGAAGAACTGATGCCTGATCAGGATGAGGAGTCTGAAGATGAAGGTAAATATAATGTTTTCATATCACCATGAAGATCAGGCTATGATGTTTATCCCCACTGAATTTATAAACATGTCTGTTTGTGTTTTTAAGTAGATATTAGAGGCAGGTATCAGATTGAAAAGTCTTTTCAATCTGACGCTGATTCTGTTTGATTTCAAACGGATCCCTGCAATTAAAAACATTATTAAACTGTTTCCTGAATCACATGATTCCTAATGAAAATCAGTGGTGAAGCCATTTTTCTTTTAAGCTCTATGTAGGACTTAGCATTAGAAAAACAGGCTAATGTAGCAAATATGAATCAAACTAGGACAACCATGGATGTGTCTGAACATCCGCCCTAACCCCTAAATCCTCCATCACTATACAGACTGGGGACTTTATAGTGAACTTTATAGTGAAATCAGTTACCTGACCGTTTGGACAGATAATCACTACCTCTCACCCCTGGTTGATCACATGACTCTGCCTCTCTCTTTATCCATCTTTGTTCTTTCTTGCTCACGAAACAATTCCAGAGGAGAGCTCCCAAAGCATTCTGGGATATCTCTGCTCACCTAGTGACCATGGATCAGCACTACTTTTCAAGGTGCATTGTGGGAAATTTTGAGTGTGCTACTTTTTCATCCACTAGATGTTTGAACACTCATTTAAAATGGTGTAACCACTTTATAGTGCACTATATAGTGATCAGGGCGCACCCCAAACCGGCCCCTAATCACTAACCCTGAACACTAGCCCTCTGTACGTTCCGGTGGACGGTGAGTGGGTGAGTGGGCCACTCAGCCCTTAAAAAGCGAGTCAGCATCATTGCCGGCTCGCTGTAATCTGGCAGCAGGTGTAACGGCAGCCCGATATCGGAGGAAACACCTGCGATTAAATGAAAGATCCACTGGTTTGCTGAATGTGTGTCGCAATGACAGAAAACCACAAGTTGGTAAAAATAAAAAAGACGTTATTTAATTTCCTTTATTGTGGTAGTTAAGGGTTAGTGCTTAGGCAGAGGTTTGGGATTCAGCCTATATGCCCTGATTTGTGTGGGACAGTGCAACATTTTTCACTTCTCCCAGTTGTCCGTCGTTGTCCCTCCTTTGTCTTTCCACTGTCCTGAATCTGTCCTCTGTCTCATGCCGTCTCTCTGCCCTCTCAGAGCTGGTGCCCACCAAATGGGGTCTGGTGATGGACAGGATTCTGGTTCTGTCCAGGAAGTTCTCCGACATCCTCTCTAAAGTCCAGGGCTTCCTCTGGAGGATCCTGGAGCTCCACATCCTGAAGATGGTGGCTTTCTTCTCTGTGTGGGTTGCACTCCAAGAGGTAAATCTGTGTTAAGCGTCTGAATGTGTGTGAGGAGCGAGCTTAGATCAGTTCAGCAATAGTCTTCATTCTGAAACTGACTGGTTCCTTCATGGAGGGATTTGGAGACAGAACCCTTCAGCATCAGGCGACCTCTAGTGGACACTTAAACAAATGCTGCTGTTTACCGTAGAAACTGTCTTGGAAACAACAGAAGGGATTGTTGGGTGATGATAAGTTTGTGAAAGTGTGTTGTTTTAGAGCCACAAGAGCGCAGGCGTAACTTTCTGAGGGACTGGTCAGGACATGTCCCCATCAACTTTGGCCTGGTGTGGACATGTCCCCACCAATAATTTCTGCTTTTGTTTCCCTTTTCCGCTCATTTTCTTTAGCCAAAGGTAACAGACTTGGGTGCAGCTATCTGTGTTCAGAGCGTTTTGAGTTGATGTTTTTTTTTCCTCTCTCCCGCTGTTCTCATGTTCGCCTCTCAATGTAACATAATCGGATCTGTCGCTTTGAGACATCGGATTTGCCGTCGCATTTGTAAAAAGTAGCTACGTGGTCAGAGGAGAGACACAGCAGCACTCAGTGAATATTAACCAGCAGCTACTTTGATGTTTAAGTAAAAGTTAAGAGACGGGTTGGTTAAAAAAATTAGATATCATGCCACAGAAAAGCTTTTTCAGTTAAAAATGGCAACAGATTATAAGTTTATACAAGTTAATGTTATAATGCAAGAAGCTTGAGAAAATATAGTTTGTTCTTTACTAGTTAAAAAAATCTGGGCTTCTCAGAGGACCATGACTCCCAGTTACAGGTTAAAATGCTTTCTTATTTTGCCGACAGAATCAGACTACAGAGCTTCTGCAGATCTTGAAATTTAGTTTCCTGCATCATTATATTAGTAAATAGATTCGTAAATCTTTTCAAACAGAGCAGAGAGAGAAGTTGGGAGAGCTGCAGATTTAAAGGGGAAACGGATTTACTGCGTTATGCAACGTGCAATAAAATATATCTCCAAGTTTGGCAGAAAGTTTGCAAGAACAAATACGCTATGCTATATTTAAAATGCAGCATATCCAATTTTTGAAATTGAAATCGTACTTCTAAGAATGCATGATATATCAATTTTATCATTGGAATCGACTGTTTATTTGTTATTTTTTTATACATTAATGTTTCTGGGCCCTACTGTATATATGGAATGCACTAAAAGGCATCTCTCTAACTATTGATAAATATCAGTGAACTGTATTATGGTTCTCTTGTGTTCTAAACAATAGGAAAGCATTCAATAAATAGATGTTTGAGCTCATTTTTGGAAAATACAGAAACCTAATGAAAGCGTTCGGGTTGAGTCCATCAGCCTATACCCGAGGGTTCCCACCAACTTTCATCACAGAGTTACACCCTCGCACCAGAGCAAGGCGGTTTGGGCCAGTTTAGGAGCTATGAAGGAGGCAGGCGTTCAGGGGTCATGTGACCTGGTGGTGCGATGGTCAAACTGTTAAACCATTCCAGCCTTGAAGTGTGCAGACATAGAAAATCAAAGATGTTCCAGCTCTGCTTCATGGTATTCCTCTGCTTTCGCCTGAAGCCGTCGGTGATGAATCTAGTCCTGGTTGTGCTGTGGTCCCTGGCGATGCCCTTCGGCCGCTTCAGGCCCATGGCCTCCTGCCTGTCCACAGTCTGGGTCTGCGTCATTATCGTGTGTAAGATGCTGTACCAGCTGAGTGTGGTGGACCCCTCTGAATACGCCCGCGTCTGCACCATGGTAGGACCCCACCCCCCCAGTTCCAACAGGACTTAATGTTTCAGTAAAACTGCTTTGCTTTGTTGAAGCTCTGTGCGTTCTTCCTCTGCGATAGCCTCCGACGAACGAAACCAACTTATCGCCAGAGGAGATGATGAACTCCACCCTGTACCAGCCTATAGATCCAGCCAAGTGGTTCGGCATCAGGAAAGACACGACCGCGCTGGGATACAGCAAGGTAGAGCTACTCCCACCTTCTATGTGTCTTTGAAATCATCACAGCTGTGTCCGCTGGGTCCTAAAGAGTGACATTATGCCCAGAACTTGACTGATGATTGACAGTTTATGCATCTGGACTAAAGAGTCTATTTATAATATATGTTATGCAACTGGTTTTAAAGAACATGCAGAGCTGATATAAGCTGTTTATGTCAGCACAGGACATGATTTATTTTATTGGGAAAGAATGAAACTGGTAGTTGGTTCCACAGGAGAGGAGCCTGGTAACTAAAAGATCTGCCTCCCATTCTACTTTTAGAAATTCTAGGAACCACTAGTAAACCTGCAGATTGAGAGCGAAGTGCTCTGTTAGGAACATAAGGAACAATCAGATCTCTGATATCAGATGGAGTTTGGCCATTTAAGGCTTTATATGTGAGAAGGAGGATTTTAAATTCTATTCTGGATTTAACAGGAAGCCAATGCAGAGAAGCCAGGCTAGGAGAGATATGATCTCTCTTTTTCATTTTCATCAGAACTCTGGCTGAAGCATTTTGGATCAGCTGAAGGCTTTTAACTACAGTTTGTGGACTTCCTGATAGTAAAGAATTACAATAGTCCAGCCTTGAAGTAACAAATGCATGGACTTCTAGAAACCTCTTTGATATGGGATTTAAATGACAGGTCCTGATCAAAAATTAAAGATTCAACTGTAAAAAAAAAAAAAAGTGTTTTTTTAAACATTTCTTTTAATTAAATTATTCTTCTTTCTCACTAAAAAAGCTGTTTTTAAATACACTTTATGACTTTAGAGTTTAGCTCCATAGATCTCCCACCTGACGGTCGCTCATGGCGTTCTCCGGTCTAATAGCGTTTCTTTCTCATTTCCTGTTTCAGAACCATTTGATGGTTCTGATGTTGCTGGTCTTTGAGGCCACGGTGTATCGTCACCAGATCCACCACTACCGTCAGCTCCAGCGGACCCCCCCAACCATACCGACTCTCTTCCCGTCTGCAAAGAGAGACACGCTGGACAAAGGCCTCGTCCCCTGCTTCAAGTACCTGCTCAACTACGCCTTTTACAAGTTCGGCTTGGAGGTGGGTCACACTTTCCCTGCACCTTGGTCTGCCTTAATGGATTTTAGTCTCCATAAATGTCTCCTTGTTTCCTTAAAGATTTGCTTCCTGATGACGGTGAATGTGATTGGTCAGCGGATGAACTTTTTGGTCATAATCCACGGCTGCTGGATGGTGGCCCTGTTGGTGAGGCGGCGGCGAGCAGCTATCGCCAAGATCTGGCCCAAATACTGCATCTTCCTGTCCATCTTCATGATCTACCAGTACCTGCTGTGTGTGGGCATCCCTTCTGCTCTCTGCCAAGGCCAGTTCAAAGGAACACATATAGTCTGACAAGATTGGGACCTTTTACTAATGAGCTTTTACAGAATTTTATCCCGTACATTTATACATTTTAATTTTGTTTTTACTTTAAATGCACCAGCAAAAATTTTCACTAAAAATTAGCCTCAGGTATTCAGCTGGAAAAATTCAGCTGCAGAAACTCCCTTGAAGTGTGGTATCATAGATGACATCACACTAACTGGCATAATAAGCTTAATATGACAGGAAGTGAATATGTAAGTGTGTGCTGTAAATCCTCTTCATGTCTAGGTTCTGTTTGATGGATCTGAACTTTTATTTCTCATCATAAATTGGATAAACCTGTGATTTACAGACAACCAGCAGTGATTCTCATTGCCTTTCAGCTGAAGTCATTCTTTCAAACGGCCTCTCAGGTTTGGCATGTTAGATAATCTGCTTTTGTCTGGAAATGAGACCCAAATGATTTGATTAACATGTCTGTTTGGAAACATCTGTTCGCAGACTGATGTGGTATGAAAACAATGGTTCAGCCTCCTAAAAACAGTGTCTTTGCATAATTAAAAAGATGGACCACAGGAAGATGTCTGCTCATTAGCCGATACCAGAAATCAGTGTAGTTTTCTTCTCGTCTGCAGATTACCCATGGAGGTGGAATAACCAGCTGTTGATGAGCTCGGCGCTCATTAAATGGATCTACCTGCCTGATTTCTACACTGTGCCCAACTCCAGGAACCTGATAGGTCAGCTGTGGTGCCGCTCTCTGTGCTTCACTTTCTAACCGTGCTATAAGCTTTCACTGTTATTGGATGCATTTACTCTGCTGATGTCACAGTAAAGATCCATACTGTCTGAAGTT